CAAACACAAATTGCACAAGGACAAACATCCAGACCCGGAACAATCATTTGTAGGCCATACAAATAATTCTTCCGTGCGGGATTCGAACCCGCGCCGCAATTCATTGCTAAGCCACTGCGCCACGGAGCCGTTATATATATTTAGAGAAGTTGGTTTGACAGAGGATGGAGACCAAGGTGATGGTAATGATGTCACTTTCCTTATGGTGGACTCAGAAGGTGGCTAAAGGATCTCAGTGATGCTACTACGTAGAACCATCGTGTTTGGACTCATTTTCAAATAGGTAAATGGAGACCTAGACGACTGTGATGATATCACCTTTATGTTGGTGCAATCCGAAGGTGGGTATAGGATCTCAGTGACGACACTAGATAGAAAGACCGCGTTTGAACTAATTTGAATGGGCTCATAAAGACCTAGATGACTGCTGTGACCCCACCTTTCTGATCGTGCAATCCGAAGGTGGATATAGGATCTCAGTGGCGGCACTAGATAGAACAGTCGTGTTTGAACTCATTTGTAAGGGCTCATAAAGACTTAGGTGACTGTTATGATCTCACCTTTCTGATGGTGCAATCCAAAGGTGGATATAGGATCTCAGTGGCGGCACTAGATAGAACGGTCGTGTTTGAACTCATTTGAAAGGGCTCATAAAAACCTAGATGACTATTATGACCTCACCTTTCTGATGGTGTAATCCGAAGGTGGATATAGGATCTCAGTGTCGGCACTAGATAGAACGATCGTGTTTGAGCTCATTTGAAAGGGCTCATAAAGACCTAGTTTAATGTGATTATATTACCTTCATGATGACAAAGAAGGTGGGGTAAAAGATCTCAGTTATATCACTACGAAACACCATCGGGTTTGGGCTCATTTGGAAGGGTTCAAGAAGTAACTACACAAATAATATAAATGTAATAAATAGTACAAACAGTATTATTACTCACTTTATAATGTTTTCAGGCAATTGAAAAGCAGCAAAACTCCTAAGTAGGTACAAAATTAGAAATCGACCATATATTTTACAGACAAAAAAAAGGCAGAACGGAAAAAGTATAACCAACTACAACCAGAAGACGAAAATATCTGCGTACTTCAAGAAAACCTACAAGCACCATTAACACCAATTCCTATAAATGACCAAGGTACCTGTACGCAGTATGTAGAATTCAATGATTTTTGAGTGATTTATTACACGAATACTACACATTTAATAAAACAAACTTTACGGATTTTATTTTGTTTAACTTATTTTAATTCGTGATGTTTGGATGCTTTAACTTTATTTTAGTTTGTAACACGTCGAGAGCTCAATTAGATAAACACAGAAAACTAGGCCATCCTAACTATTTCCGTTACTAAAAACCGATAAGCATTATCTGGTCATCATAAGACCTTCAGAATGTGCCCATGCCCACGGATTTTTTTGGGTTCACCGTAACCGGAGTGCAAGTTAGTATCTGTGGGGTGTCGCCCGCTCTACAGATAGGTAATTTAATAAACAGATAAAAATAAATAACACATTTATTAATTAAATAAAATTTACCATAATGAGTTAAATTATCATAATATCTGACCCATTTCTTAAAATTGTCTTAATTGGCCTTATCATGAATAAAAATATCTTTTGAAGTGTTAATATATAGGAAACGTTATTTATATACGTATATACATATATACGGAACGGATTACATTTCGATGATGAGGCCGCAGCCGTGCGCGTTTAGTTGGCGTGACTCCTATAAATTAAAAATATCATTTCCTATCTATTAACTAGCTGTTCCCCGCGACTTCGCCCGCATGTAATTTATTACGATTGGATTTCATGTGTTTCAATTTTTTTTGTGAGGAACCCTAATTCTTTTTCTAAATTAAAATTAGCCTAAGTTCCTCCATATAATATCAGTTATCGCCATTGAAAGTCTCGTCAAAATCGGTTCAGCCAATTTGTAGATTAGTCGGAACAAGCAGACAGACAGACACAAATGAAAGTTAGACAAAGATTTTAATAATTGTGTTTTTGTATTTTGAAATATCGATATTTATTTTTAATATTTTTGACGACATATATTGAAATATAAGTTTGATATTGAAATATAGATATACGACAGTCGATATATTTTTTAAAATAAATTATATTTTTATTTTTTCACGTAAATCATTTAATCTACAACACCATCGTAAACTTAAATCCTAATTCTTGATGGACCCAATCTATTATACTTTATTTACACTATATAATCTTTTTCATTTTTCTCCAGTTTATTTATTTGCTTATTATCTTAAAAAGAAATGTAATTTTGTAAAGTATATCTCTGTGATATTAAAATCACTATAATCTATGAAGCTTAGTACTACTTTACTTACTGTGAGTTTTGGAAGGAGCTTGACCATTGACGAATGGTTCCTCCTGTTTTATCGTTTAAATAATCGTTTGAAGTGGATTTTTATCAAAGTGATGCGATTATGTGTATTAAGTGTCTGCACATGTGAGCTATTAGAGAAAACGACGAAATAAGTGGTTCAATGTTGATATAATCCTCAAGTTATTTTAATCGCTTAGGCGTCTTATAATTTACTTCCGTGCTATCAGAAATAGATGTTAAATACTTGATATCTTCAGCTGCATCCTAAGCATCTGAACGAATTACTTCTACAACAATCTTTTAGTGCCCAATTAGGAGTATTGAAACAGCTGAACATATAAAACAACGAGTATTTTTGAAAACTCTTACTGACAAATATTGGTAAACATAATTGTCTTATTTAAATTAAACAATAATTCAAGTTAAAGTTACAGCCTATATACGTCCCAATGCTGGGCACTCCTCAGCTGGGCAGGCCTCTCCTAACTTCTGAGAGAGTTTTAGGGCAACGTCCGCCGCGCTGCCCCAATGCATGTTGGCGAACTTCACGTTTTCTGAAATTTTTATTTTATTTCTCAGACATGCAGGTTTCCTTACGATGTTTTCCTTCATCGCCGAGCGCGTGGTAAATCAGCACTTAAAATTACAATTAACAATTTCATTGGTGCCGGCGGGGATCGAACCCGGGTTGCTCGCGTACTGTGAAATTTACAGCGAACGCTTACCATCTGAGCTACCATGGCTCTTTAATAATTAGGTTATAGTTCTTAGTAAAATAATTAGTAAGAACTATAACCTAACATTTTCATACATTTATAATTTTATTTGTTTAATAAACATACTAAATTATAAACTGTGTGAATCATTTTTAAGCAATAAGCATCAATATATCGCTTATGTTTCCGATATATAAAACTCCGATATTGATATATTTATAATTATCGATATATTGAAAATCCGATATTTTAAAAATATCTACAGCCCTAGTTTGAACTGATCAGTTGGAATGATCAGTTGAACTGACCGTGTGTGTCGAAATTTTTTTGGATTAAATCCGTTTGAAATGATCAGTTGAACTGATGTCAGTTTAACTGACCGTGTGTGGGGACCATAATAGTGGATAGATGTAGATGTCTATGGGCCGCAGCAACCACTTACGATCAGGTGGACTGTGTGCTCGTTTGTCACCCTTATCCTATAAAAAAAATCTTTATAAATATTTATGTAATTATTCTGTACGTGTTTCTCACTGAACTCCTCCTAAACGATGAATTTTTTTGTGTGTTTAAGTGAGTCCCTAGATGGTTTAGATTAACACTTAGACCCGGTAGGTGCAATGTTGTCGAAATCCAGAAATCACCCGTGCAAAGCCAGAGGGCATCGCTAGTCAAATATTTAATAATATAAATAAAATTTTTATATATTATACTAATAAAATTTTATTAATTTTACTAAAGATTCCTCTAAATTAGATCTGTCAACGGCGTAAGAATATCGATCGCTCCTTTTGTCCTCTTGGTATCGTAAGAGGCGGCTGTGAAAACGCTAAAAATGATCTCGTGGTGGCTGATGGAATTGCGCATATTCTTCTCATTTACGCCAAACGCAAAATACTCAAACCGTCAACGGGGATTAGCGTCAAAATTACATCAAACTATCCCTAATCCATCTACCAGTAGTGGTTATAATGGCCAATTCACCCTACAACGTTAGAGGTTCAGGTCCGGTTGTGGTCTTCCACAGGCTGATTATGGTGAAGAATAAGATACTTAATAAATCGTTTTCCAAAAATAAATATTAGCTGAGCTGCTACTATAGCTGATAGTCATTGAAAATGTGTTATATAGTTATAAAATAAACAAAATAATACACAATACACACTCTTTTAATTAATACATTATTTAAAAAGTCAAGAAATCAGCATATCAAGAATCACGTTGCTCGGCTGTGGCTGTGGACTATATAATCAAATGTCATGTTTCCAGACAATGTATGTGCTCATCGAAAACATATAATATGAAAGAATTCAGAATTTTTATTCAATACATTTCAGATGATAATTTGCAAGATAGTTTAACTATTGAATTCACAGCTTCACAGCATTGATTTTTAATGAAATTCTAAATTGCCATCAACGGGTTTCTATTAATTGGTAAGATCCAATAGATAATACCAACCATCATCACACAACCCGTACCCGTACAAGAATAATCCGTAAAGATTCAATGGAAAGAAATGTGATGAGATGGGCAGTTTCTAGCCATCTTGTGATATGTGCTAGATGGAAACACGTTTATGTAATGAAATTACAAGATTCGGAAGCTATGTCAGAGAACTAGAGAAAAATATTTCACAAACAGTTTTTGTTAAAACAAATTTGTGCATACGTAAATGCACGTTAGTTCCAGCTGGAATTCGTATCCAGGACTGCCGTCTCAGTAGCCGGCTAATGTATATAGCATTATTCACGTAATTATTTAGTTAATGCACCGTACTACTCATGTATACGAAAGAAATAGCAATTAGTATAACACGTTGAAAATAGCTTTAAAGTTATTTCTGCTATAGACAGAACGAGTACCCAATTCAACATCATGCATGAAATCAAGTTTTAACTATAGTTATTTATTTAGTAGCGCGGGAAACCGCTATGCGGTAAGACGGCTCGCGATTATTGTTGAAGTGGTCAATGCATTTTAAATAAAATTTATTAAAATAAACAAAACGTTTTTGGAGTAACAAAGGAAGTCAAACGTGATATTATATTTTTTAATTGTTATAGCGAAATTGTGAAATAGTTTTATAGTGTTGTGGCTAAAATATTTGTTGCGAAAACTATAATAGATTTCCATTTGGTTAATTTGATATAGTGTTTTGTGTAATGTGGATACACACCTAGTGAATAGATCAAGAGGTACTTAATAACGTTTTATATTCACTATATTAGATTAGATTAAATGTTACGTCAATTATCTTTATTATAACAACTTGTTTTAGTGAATATTAACTGTGTTTTATAGTTGGGATCATGTTTAGGCCCATTTTCTTTGTTTCTTTGTTCTTCAAAATAAAATATCGTTAGAAACGTCGCTTTTAAACTAATACAATTAATTAAAGTTTCACATTAATTTATGCTAAATAAATATTTTTTATATTTTTAAAACGTTAATGTAGTAAATCAAATATAATTTAGCACTAATACAAGAGCTGAGCATTCGGTTGCGGCACTGAAGGACTGCGGATTCGAATCCCGTACGAATTGTTTGTAGGGCACTTACAGATACAATTATTTCAGGTCTGAATGTTTATCCTTGTGAAATTTATTTATGTATAAATTTCACAAGGATAAACGGATTTTTATACGTTATATATGCCCCCACGTTACTAGAGAAAATTCTAGTGGGGGTATTTTGTTTTATATACAAATAGAAATAAATCACCTTGGCGACTCCGTATTAGTAGCTTAGTAATGAGTTGCAACGCTGTGGACGCGGGTTCGAATCGCGCACGGAACAAGTACTTGTATAACCTACAAATAATTGTTCCGGGTCTGGATGTTCATCCTTGTGAAATTTGTTTATGTAAACAGTTCCCACAATACAGGAGAAAATCTTAGTGTGGAGGTAACTTTTTAAAAAAGGAAAATAAAAGGAAATCCCCTATTTCTAAAAAATAATAGCAGTTTATTATGTATGTAATAAACTAGCCTCGGCCAACTATTATTTATTCTGTGCCCCGGCTTCATCTGGATATTATCTATTTTTTTTAATAAATCAAATAAAAAAAAAGTTAAATTAATCAAACACGGTGTCGCAAAAACTTAACAAGGTGGTATACAGGTGCCATGCTTCATCGACGACACTTGGTGGTTAACCTACGTACGAACATTGTCTATTACATATTACGGTAAATATAACATGCTTGAAAATCGTAGGGAATATCTACACGCTCGTAATGCGTACATTCACGGGTAGTAAAAATGTGTGTTAATGAAGTAAAACATAATAAGTATATGATTTTTAGGTTTTTTTTAAATCTTCAAGTTTTTCGTATAAAATATATCATTCCTGATATTTCTTTCTATCTGTTGGTAAAGTTTCATCAGACAGACAGACAGAAAAAAAGATCAAGAACAAAAACGACTATAATGTTGTTTAGTGGTTAAATTACCTCACTCAGCAGAACCTGGTTTAGATTTTTTTTATAGGACAAGGGTGACAAACAAGCACACAGTCCACCTGATGGTAAGTGGTTGCTGTGGACCATAGTCGTTTGCGAATTAAAAACACAGATGCGTTGTCAGCCGTGAGGACTAAGATATAATGCCTCTTTTCCAGTAAAATAGGTCTCCGGTTCTCTACACTCAGCATACGAAACACAGCAGCATTAAGCCGCTATTTTACCCTGGTATTCTGTGAGAGCGTGGTTCTTCCCCGGTCGAGCCGACCCATTCGTGCTACAACTATACTATTAATATAGCTGCAGCATGGCTCTACCACGTAAAAAGCTACTAGAATAGCTTCATTTTGTGCTAAACATGAATCATTGGACTTCCTGTTTAGATGTTATAACGTTACAGCCTGTATACATCCCACTTTTGGGCACAGGCCTCCTCTCACTTCTGAGAGGGTTTTAGGACAAGGAAGTGTCCGCGGCGCTGCTCCAATGCGTGTTGGCGAACTTCACATGTGTTCGAAATATTTTTTTTTATTTCTCAGGCATGCAGGTTTCATAAACCGCCGAGCACGTGGTGAATCAGCACTCTTTGTAATTAACAATTTCATTGATGCCGACAGAGATCGAACCCGGGTTGCTCACGTACTGTGAAATTTACATCGAGCGCTAGCCCCTGAGCTACTCCGGCTGAGCTTAACCTAATTTATTATTGCGAGTCTCTGACATAGCATCCCAGCTTACTTCCGACACCACAGATAAAAATTTGTTGAACAATAGGATAGGACTAGGACTGCAATATCGGAAGATCAAAATATCTGGACAAAATTTGAAAGTCGGGATTTGATGTTGTCGGGAGTAATAAATATTAAAAATAAAAATGTAAAATAAAAAGTTTTTTTTTTAATTTAGTAGGCTATAAAAAGATTTAAAATTGTTGACACTTATGTAATTTTTTATCTATACTCTATACAAATAAATAAAATTGAAGTGTCTGTTTGTAATGTGAAAATAACAGCTTTTTACAAAATACATATGAAAGTATATACGGTACTAATAAAAAAACACATATTTTTTTAATTTTTGTCTATCTGTCTGTTGGTTACGTCTAATCTCCGAAATGGCTCGACCAATTTTAATTGGACTTTCACTGGCAGATAGCTGATATTATAAAGAGTAACTTAGGTTACTTTAATTTTAGAAAAAGAATTAGGGTAATAAAACCCTAAATAAACGCGGGCAAAGTCGCGGGAAACAGCTAGTTAGCAATAAAATTTAGGCTGCCACATGTATTTGACATTGGACTTTACTGAATCCACCAATTTGGATCCTTTAGTAGTATCCAGAAAAGATTTAAAATCCAAACGATTTACTTCAAAATTCAGTTTTATTACAAATTCAGCCTTTGTTAAATCAAAGGCATCTGTGATGTGAAGAGGAGCTGTTTGTATGGAGATTTTGAGTTTTGTCGGGAGTCTGGAGATCATTTAAAATGTCAGGGAGAATTCAGACGAATCCCGAACACCTGGCAACCGTAGATAGGACGATGAGTGTACGAGTATCACAATGAGGAACGTTTGTCTCAGTGCACGTGCCCAGCACGTTTCGAAAATAATTGTTGACAGTACTCGGAGGTCGTGCAAGGCCAGGAGAACATCACTTTCATCGTATTAATATTGTAATGCTTAATGATTCATAATCATTTTACAGTTTATTGAAGTCACGCAGCTCAAAATAGGCCTCCCTCGTAGATTTCCTCATTTTGCCATAGTTACCCGCATGGCAAGCGGGTTGGCAACTAAAGGTTTTAATCATTTTAAGTCGTTATTAGACGCTGCTGCCAATCTAATGTTTGAATTTCCCCAGATGATATGGGATAGTGAATATTTTTACATCACCACTGCACGGTAAAAAGCTTAAACATATATCTTTATAAAATCATGCCATTACCCACAGTAAAATTCTGTAGGTAAAATAACAGCATAACGATGCTGTGTTTCGTATGGTGAGTGTAGAGAACCGGAGACATTCCACCTTAGTCCTCACAGGTGACAACGCATCCGCATTTTGATTCGTAATCGAGGGTAGATGGAGATGTCTATGAGCCACAGCAACCACTTACCATCAGGTGGACTGTGTGCTCGTTTGTCACCCTTATTCTATACAAAAATATTCATTCATTGAAATTCCATGACATATAATTTTTAAATAAATTTGTCAGTACGATAATCGTGTCACCTACTGTAAGTTAATCGTTCTATGTATATAACCTATGCGCAAGTGCAAGCAATACGTTGACAAAGTTTTACCGCAACCTGATGAACGGTATAGCAGCGCCATAAATACGAACAAACAAATATTAATTTTGTATATAAGATTATTAATTAAAGGCCTTTGATTTTGTCGAAATTTGGGCGGTGCTGCAGTCCCTTCAGCGATGCCAAGTTGACTGTCGGTACATCGAAGAGCTGAAGTATTTGTACAGTAGGGCTACGATAGCTATCCGAGTACGAAACCTATCCAACTACAGAGAGGTGTAAGACAGGGTGATGTTATATTACCGAAACTCTTCACCGCTGTGTTGCAAGACGTTTTGAAGCTCCTGGACTGGAAAGGATACGGTATTAACGTCAATGGCGAGTACATAACTCACCTTTGAAATGCTGGCGATGTAGCCCTTATTGCAGAATCACTGGAGGACCTAAGCACTATGCTAAATGACCTTAATAGTGTCTCCCAACGGATAGGTCTTAAGATGAACATGGACAAAACAAAAGTCATGTGTAACGCCCTTGTCACACCTATGCCGGTAGTTGTTGGGAGCACTAAGCTCGAAGTTGTTGACGAGTATGTTTATCTGGGACAAATAGTCCGACTAGGTAAGTCCAACTTCGACCGAGAGGTCGATTGACGGATTTAACTTGGCTGGGCGGCGTTCGGAAGATTACACATTTTCTCGTCAGGCATACCTCAAAACCTCAAAACAAGATTGTTCAACCAGTGCGTGTTGCCAGTGATGACATATGGATCTGAGACGTGGTCCTTTACTGCTGGCCATATGAGGTATCTCAAGGCCGCTCAGCGAGCTATGGAGATGGCTATGCTCGGCGTTTCTCTGTGTGATAAACTTAAAAATACAGTAGAACCAGAGTAACCTACATAGCCCAACGGAATAGGAAGCTGAAGTGGCAATGGGCCGGCCATATAGGTCGAAGAACCGACAACCGATGGGGAAGAAAGATTCTCGAGTGGTAGCCTCGTACCGACAGGCAAAGTGTAGGGTGTTCCCTCGCTAGATGGTGTGACGACCTGTTAAGACATGCAGGATGTCAATGGATGCAAGTGGCTCGGGACCGTGCATTGTAGCATTCCTTGGGGGAGGCCTATGTTCCTGGTGGTAGAAAAAACCATGGATGCCTTAATTCCAGAACAAGCTAACTGAATGACATTAGAGACAACTTTCTAGAAATAACTGCTAGCAGTTTCTTTTCTTTTAGAATAAGGGTGCCAACTGCCAAACGAGCACACAGTTCATCTGATGCTAAGTGGTTGCTGTGGCCCGTAGACATATACATCTGTACTCGATTAAGAATCAAAATGCAGATGCATTGTCACCCAACACCATACGAAACACAGCAGCATTAACCTGCTATTTCACGCTGGTATTCTGTGAGAGCGTGATCCTACCCCGGTCGAGCCGACCCATTTGTGCTACAACTATTATATAGCTGCAGGATGACTCTACCACGTTTAAAAGAGTCTCATTCTAAAGCTCGATTTGTAAAATTTACGGTCGCGTACAACATACGCCGTTTGTAATTTACTTTTCTTATTTTGTATGATTTTAGGTTATGGAAAGAGCCAATTGATGTCTCCAAAATGGCGGCTTCCAGTCGTGTTACGATCGCTCAAGATGGCGGACAGGGGAATGTTAAATTGCATCCGTATCTGGCGGCATTGGTGTGAGTCTTTGTTTTATTAAACATAATTTTCCATTACTTACCTAATTATTTTCTAGTAATTGCTGTAACGGACAATGTTACCCCCGGCCTCACATTCGTCAAGTGGCATGGGAAGTAGCGAGGAAAGGAGGCGGAAACTTAGTGTGGCCACAATACTCGTCATGCCGCACGTCACGCTCCTCGTCATGCCACTGGCCACATACTCGTGCAAATGCAGTTCAAATCCAGTGCTCGTTACGGAAGAGTCGTTCTATTTCGATGAATAGATGTCATACACCATCTCCGTCGGCGAAAATAACGACGTATATTTCTTTTTTATTACATTGATATAATTAGGTATACTAAATATGCATATAGCGCGACAACATGCTGCCACAGTTGCATTAATCATTGTGTTGAAAATCTAGCGACCTAGTGCGAAGCGTCGCGATTAATTGCGCGAGTAGAGCAGTGTGTGGCCAGAGAGGGCAACATCGCGGCAGCGCGAGGAGCATGGTGTGGTTGAGCCATTACAGTTTTAATACCAGTTATATATTTTTCTATTAATTTCACAAATAGTTTGTCAGAATACCTTCTGTCGCTCTATCATATTATTACAACATAGAAACAGAGAAATAAAAAATCACCTTTTAATTATAAGTAAATGAGACTTTAAGGTACTATTATCATGGAATAAATTGCTATTATGGATTGTAGAGGCAAGGAGAACCGTCTCTGTGTATGAATAAGACGCGTCCATTAATAGTGACGCTGCGGTAGCATAGGATAAATTGTAAAGAAAGCGCCAAAAGTAATTAGAATAAGATGGAGAAATAAACAAGGACCGACTAATTTCCGCTTAATTTTATTTCATCACAATTAAATCACTAATAATTATTTTAATCAAGTTAATAAAGTCAGGTTTATTCCTTTTTTTTTACTTAATTATTTTAGACTACGTAAATAGTTGAGGTTTTGTATACTAGCATTTTACATATTTACCATTATTTTAAATATTTGCACTCAGCTCACTTCACTCAGTCTACAACAGCTATGTTCATATCGTAGTGTTTCAGACGCCATTGCTATTCTGGTAGGTACTGGAACCTCTATTTTCAGTATACAGTTGAACACTTTTTCAACTTTCCTCCCATATGAGACGGTTCTCCTTACATCTACCATCCATAGGTGCTATAAAAAAAATAACATTTTTACATACCGAGACGAACTCATGTTACATCATATCTTAATGCCTCGAATATGTTAAGGATGCAGGGGCGTCCCAAACTTTTTTATGCTTCTTTGCTATTCGGCGTAAATACAAAGAATCCAGAATATTTATACAAAAAACTTAACTGGACTGGACATTTATATAAAACCCGAATATGCTCTAAAGTTTTTTGCGTCCCTAAACACAAAACATCGGCTTTCCGAGGCAGTTTTAAGTTAATGGCAACTAAGGCCGGCCACATACATACGGAATTCCGTTTCGGGTTTCCGTTTCGATATTCCAATTCGGAATCCCGAACGCAGCAAGTCCATATAAAATCTATGACCCGCCACACACGTACGGTAGTTTTCCGTTCGATATTTTGCGGGCAAAACGGGATTTCGTTTGTGTGTGGCCGACCGTTCGGAATTCCGAAACGGAACTTCGAAACGGAACTTCGAAACGGAATTCCGTATGTATGTGGTGGGCTTAAGTGTTGGAATGATCTCCCACCACCACTACGCACTATGACAAGTAAGGCCGGCCACATACATACGGAATAACTTTTCGAGATTCCGTTTCGATATTCCGATTCGGAATCCCGAACGCAGCAAGTCCATATAAAATCTATGACCCGCCACACACGTACGGTAGTTTTCCGTTCGATATTTTGCGGGCAAAACGGGATTCCGTTTGTGTGTGGCCGACCGTTCGGAATTCCGAAACGGAATCTCGAAACGGGATTCCGTATGTATGTGGCGGGCCTTAATCGAGTTTTAAAAAGAATTATAGACGTCACTTACTAAGAGAACAAATACTGTCATAATCGGCTTATTTTTACCTAATTGCAGGACCGCCCTGTAAATACTTAAAATAAATAATAAACATTGCTATATAGTCGGGAAGGGAGGGTGGGGAAACAACTTATATGAGATTAAAGAAGGAAGGCTTGTTAATATCAATATTATTTTATAATTTATGTTACTTATTATTAATTATATTGTTGTAATAATTATTTATTTACAAAAATGTAAAAAAAATAATGGTAATAAAATATATATCTATTTGATTACTAATTTGAACTGGCTAATACTCGGGGATCCACGGTATGTACCCAAATGTGAACAGTTGTGATTAAAGGCAATATGAGCAGGGATGCGCGCGTACTCTACTGTTCATATGTTGGGCGATGGCAGAATAACAGCGTTGTAGGCAACTGCAACACTTATGCTGAGCTAGAGCCCATTCATTACTACATTATGTAATTTTTGTCATTTCTGTATGTACTCATTTTAACTTTATTGGTGGTAATGAATAAATGCTTATTATTATTATTATTATTATTCATGAAACATCTCATTTATGAAAGGTGTCTTATTCAAGAATACTCTCGATTAAGACACCTTTCAAAGCAAAAAAATCTTTCAAAACTCGTTCATTAGTTCAGGAGCTATGATGCCACAAACAGACCCACAGATACATACTACAAACTTATAACACCCTATGCTTTCGTCGGGGGTTATAAGTTATAATAGATCGGTTAATAAACGACGAACATATCGCGTGACATACGTAAAAAAAAGAAATCGAATTGTAAACATTCTCCAAAGGGTAACCAACGGGACTCTATTACTAAGCCTCGGTGTCGTCCGTCTGTCTGTCAGCGGGCTGTATCTCATGATCCGTAATATGTAGACTGTGTGATGTGAATGTGTATTTTTGTTGACGCTACAATAAAAATAAATGCCCCCCCCCCCCCCTACTAGAAACATGTATTACGATGGTATGGAACTGTTCATGCATGAGTCCGACTCTCACTTGGCTGGTTATTGAAGTCCGCTAAAAATTGGACCTCGTCTGAGGTAGCTTATCCTCACTGATAAAATCGTTTTTTTTTTAAATTTAAGTAAGGGCAATGATATATAAATTCTGTATTGGTGGTGTAAGTATATCCACTACCCCATATCGTCCCATTGGTGTGGTAAGAGACGACAGAGGGAAGCAGAATCTTCCTGATAACAAATCAAAATATAATTAAAAAAAAAACTCTGTTGCCAACCCGTCTGTCTATCGCGGTAACTATGGAAAAATCACCGATGAGACAATCTACGATAGAGGCCAATGTTCAGCTGTGGACTTTTACAGGCTGTAATGGATGGATCGATGGATGGGTGAATGAAAATTTTTTTATAGGATATGGGTGACCAACGAGCACACAGTCCACCTGATGGTAAGTGGTTACTGTGGCCCATAGACATCTACGTCTATACTCGATTACGAATCAAAATGCAGATGCGTTGTTACCGTGAGCAATAAGATGGAGTGCCTCGTTTCCAGTAAAAAGGGTCTCCGGTTCTCTGCACTCACCACACGAAATACAGCAGCGTCAAACTGCTATTTTACGCTGGTATTCTGTGAGAGCATGGTCCTCACCCGGTCGAGCCGACCCGTTCGTGATACAGCTATACCATTAATATAGCTAGGCAGCATGGCTCTACCACGTAAAAAATGTAATGTAATACGAAATGATATGTAATACGAGTTACAAACTTGTGTACAGTCTACTACATGGCAATATTAGCCGCGTCATACAGACACCCACACTTGTCCTCGATTAATCTCTGATTACTATTTACTACTGGAATGCCTCGTTATCAACAGGGTCTCCGGTTCTTGACACTCACCGGACGTCATACGGAACACAGCGACATTATTCTGTCTTTTCAATCGTCTTCAAAAAAGGATGAGGTCTATATTTGACTATATTTTTTTATGTGTGTTACCTCAGGACTTTTTTTTTCTAGGAGAACCGTATTTGATGACTCTTTTATTTGAAAGCTGGTGCTTCTCATGTGGTCCCATAATATGAATTTGATTAAGACCTGACCAGTAGTTCTTGAGTTATCCTTAATAATGTGTATTTAATTGATTTCGACTACATTGATGATGTTCTCATTTTATCAACAGACTTCAAAAATGGAGGAGGTTCTCTATTCGACTGTGTTTTTTTTTGTGTGTTACCTCAGAACTTTTTTCTAGGTGAACCGATTTTGATGACTATTTTATTATTTGAAAGCTGGTGCTTCTCATGTAGTCCCATATGAATTTGATGTAGACCTGACCAGTATTCTTGAATTATCCTTAATAATGCGTATTTAATTGAATACGACTACATTGATGATGTTCTAATTTTATTTATATTGAAGTCTGATGTACACAATTTTTAATTTTACGTGGTCTTTCTCCGGTCTAGTCAACTCACTTCTTCTACACACTCATAATACAGCTGCAGCGTGATCCTACGACGCAAAAATTTTCAAGACGTACATTCAGAAATATACTACATTCTTAATAAATTATTCATCAGCAGTTGTATTAATTGTTCATTCAAGCCGCGTATTGTGCAATTACTTCATTAGCACTCACAATGCTATTGTAACACGTCCTCGAACCCAGGACCTGTGCTCGATCGGGGGGAACGTTCACAATAAGGACGTGTACACGGTAGTACCAAGCACTGTTTTTTAAGTTCCGATGCACACAAGAAGCCCTTATAATTTTGTTTCACAAACAAGGAAACCGTATAATTTTGATACATGATTACACAGAATTAATTCCAAGTAGACCTTATTATTTCGTTACAAAATTATTAGACATTAGCGATTCGCCCCGGCTTCGCACGGGTGATTTCTTTAGATCTCGACATATGTATGTATTGGACAACCTTCTTCTTGAATTATTCTGTCTATTGATGAAAACCGCAACAAAATCCGTTGTGCTGTTTAAAAGCTCTAAGCGTACAGACGGCGGG